AAATCCCGAATAAATACGCCCCCTCCCCTCAACCTCCCCCTTCACAACGTCGTTTTCTCAAAAAGTTTACCGCTCTAGCTCTGTCAGCGTCTACCAGCGTCTGCCGGCGTCTACCAGCAATAGCTGGTACCCTCCTATCGTCTCGTACTCTCTACCAGCAACCAGCTGCTGGTCGGTGATGGACGCTGCTACACGCTTGCAGACGTTGGCAGACGCTAGATTGATACCTATTATACTTCCCTGGCCCTTAGACGCCGCTGGTCGCTGACGGACGCTGGTAGACGCTAGATCAATATCTGTACTTTTCTAGTGGCTGACGCTGCGAGACGCTATGGGTCGCTGGTTGACGCTGCCGCAAAGAATGAACGCAGCCTTAATGATTTTGGAGAACTGACTGAGGTCTGGTCGCAGTTCGATCCACCATTCATACATGTGCTCACAGTATCCTGGCGCTATTCTGCTTGGAGGGTGGGGGCATCTGTGCCCACTCCTTTTTGGCAATGATGGGCACGTTGTTACACTAATGCTACCTGTTTCTTTTTTGTGTCACCGTTACAAGGAGCGTTGGTTGCAATCAGGACTTTTTTTGTTGAGAGCAAGTGATCCAGGTTCGGTGACAAACGAATCAAACTGTTCGTCGGCTATTGGCGCAGTAAAATAGTTTTTTTTTACAGTTCGCAAATGTCCGAAAACCTCGCAGTCATTGGACGGTGCAAAGGACTCGAGGTTAGGTGAGCCATACCTCATTAGTAGGGAAACCAGGTTTCGACAAACCATGTAGTTCATCTATCCACTAAGACGGTCCTCTTTCACCTCCCCACCCCGCCCCCCCCCCCTCAGCCAGTTCCCTGGTATATTTGTGCCCTCCAAAACTGGATGTTAACTTTCAACAGAAGTCCCTTTCCTGACTATACAATCGTCCAGAGCTACCTTCCCATAAAAAAGAAAAGTAATTCCAGTGGGTTAAAATGGCGAGGCATTTTGTTCGTATCACTGCCCAGTAGAAGTGCGCACAGATGCCCCCCCAAACCAAGAAAGCATCGTATCCACCATTTCATCTTACTTACTCTTTTTCATGTCATTTTAAGACAACTGCAGAAAAGTGACCATCATCCCGAAGGCGGAAATGACATGGGAAATAATTTTACAGACGATTTTTCAAAGAGAAAGTCGTAAACCTCCAGAGATGTCGAAGTTTTCATTGTAGTAAAGTCGGCTCATGTCTATCCGTGACCCTTGCTTGTCCAGTTCCACCATTTCTTCAACTGAAAATAATTGCTCGAAATTTTCTTAACAACGATGATTCTCTTATAGATGGTCCAAAACTGTCTACAGAATTCGTACATCGTAGCGTGATGTTGATGCTTCTGAGACCAACATTTACACCCACGCGAGCCCGCATTCTTTCGTTTACATGGGACCTGTAGAAACTAGTTTTGGAGCTTTTGGAAGAATCGCGAGCAACTATGGTCACCCACCTTAGTTGAGAGAGTATCCTGGCAGAGCCTCCGGTCCAGCCCGGAAGACACAATGAGGCTGAAAGCCAGTGAGTTACAACTCTTTCTTGCAAAACATGTTAACCCCACTCGAAAGAGAACATAAAAGGATAAAGTATAGAATCTTCGCCGTTGATCAATCCCTTTGTGGGATGCGGCACGCATTCTACTTCCATTCAGAATCGTAGTGGCTTATTGAATGCGATGTGGCCTATACGGGGGGGGGGCAAAAAAAGACGTTTTCTCCCCTCGACCTTTAAGGGGAAATAAGTTACACTTTGTTACCTTCTGATTGGACATTTCCACCATCGAAACCAACGACTTATTGTACTATTACGAAACTTCGCCGTAGCCTTCTAAACGAACGCCATGGAGAGACCGACCGTGATTCGGTGCCTGAGTTCAGTGAGGTCTCCGCCACTGTAGACCACACTGTTGAGCTCCTCCCGAACAACCCAGTAATCGAGTGTTTAGAGAAGGTAGTACACTTGAGTGTTCCGTCTTCTTCAGATTCTCAACGCCCTTCGACTCCGAGTGGGCGAGAGTTTCCCCTAGGCCCACGATTCTACGTGTTAACACCCAATCCTGTAGCAGTAAGTTTCCAAGACGGTACAGGCGACGACATGAAGGTAGCATATTCTCCTCGAGCTGTTGGATGTAACAGTCAAGTCTTTCAGTCCGAGGTCCATGAAGAGAATATCGGTCTCCCCATTCCAGGAACTTCCGGTCCATACCATCAACCGCGCCTTGGCGACTGCGGTGAAGATGATATCCTGGACCGTAGCGACGTTGTCGGAGCTGCTCGATGTTGGAGGTCTCCAGATCAAGAGTACCGGTTCCCAGGTAGTCCATGGGTGATACGATACAAGCAGTTTCGCAGCTGTTTGGAGGTGATGTATAAAGAGAGTGTTCTTGTCCTCCCAGACAAATCTGGTACCAATTTACCGTCCCCAGAGGGGAGGAGGCTTGGTTGGCCTGGGCAGGAGATACCCGAGATTTCAACCCAGGCTAGCGCGAGTGTTAAGCGTGCCACTTGCCCTTACCAAATTCGTCTGGGAGGATAAGAACACTGACTTGTACATCGGCTGGCCCCGCAAGTCATTGTATAGGCCACATCGCATTCAATAAGCCACTACGATTCTGAATGGAAGTAGAATGCGTGCCGCATCCCACAAAGGGATTGATTAACGGCGAAGACTTCATCCTTCTCCATCCTCCTGACATCCCTCTATCCAAGAGAACATACCTGCTAGAATTGCACCTGTCAATGTTACTACCGTAATGACAGCCAATGTCACTAAGCGCTTCTCTCGAACTCCAGGTAGAATTACCAGAAAAGCCAAATATGGGATGACAAAGATGGCTGAGACCTGAATAAAGGGTTATTTGGCCCTCTTTTGCAACCAAGTACATACATGAAGTCCTGACAGTAACTCACAATGACTGCCTGAACATTAATGTCAGGCATTTCGGCGGTGGCATAGTCGGACGGTTCGGCGAAGCCACCAAACCAGCTCGTCCACATTGGTCTGAAAGGCATTTGATGTTGGAGGAAGAAGCTTTAGAAGGCGTCACATGGCGGGCGGTACGTCATTTATTGAAATTCCAGAGGTACTGACACATTAATAAGGGAATCAAAATTGAACAAAAATGAATTCGTTATTGGATTGAGTCAGATTGAAATGAACGAAATGAATCACATCTCAATGGTGAGTAGTTGCCGTTTAGCATACGCTGACAGTGAGTTTGGACCCAAGTTTGGCCCGAATATTTATTTAGGAAATGCGAGATCAGAGAGGTTTTCCCGGGAGGAGAGAGCGAGAATGGCAGAGGTACCGGTACAACGACTGATAGGTAAACATCTGCTTTGTTATGTGCGTCGGTCGGGTTCCTTGGTGCAGATCTCTCTACTATCGGAGCAGCGAGAAAGATTGACTAAATGACTTCTTTGACGTCATACAGTACGACCACTCTACTCGAAACATAGAACGCTCACATGTAACCATCGGCCGAAGTTCAACGGCGGTTTTACTTCGACCCACCACCTACCGCCTACGCTACCCGATGAGCGCCCTTTTGGCGTATCGGTCCACAAATCTCTGACGTCTCGTTGTCTGTCGCAGTTGTCATTTTGTCACGTATATCCTTCATTTCCACAAAAACCTGTTCGTTGAAGTCGCAATTGCAGATCTTCCTAATCTCTACCGTAATAATGAAAAACAATTAAGCAGAACAAGGGCACATGGATTCCCCAACAGCGGGGGGAGTCGTACTTGGTCGCTGGAGGGGGTCTATTTGGATCAAGACAAATTTATTCTGTTAGTTGATTTTTCTTATTCCACGGACGTTGTAAAAAGAAGGGGGGGGGGAGGGTGCATTTGTTCGTTGTTGAGAGAGTCGTTATTTCCCTTCTGAGCCAGAAGGTTGCTGACTTTCTGACTTTTCATAATTTTTTTTCCTGTTTCATGTATACTACATACCCTTCCTCCGCATCGACGGCTCGATGAGGAGAGAACCGGGGGGGGGGGTGGGTTGTATCAACCCCCTAAAAAAAAGGGGTCGCACGGACTCAACCAAAATCCCAACCAACATTGTGGTCCGGGCGAAACCACCTTTGGGTTATTTCTGGTTTTTGAAAAAAAAACCATTTTTGAGGATCCTTAAACCTTAGTCATAGCTATTTTTTGACCAGGCGCCGTTAAACTGTACCGAAAACAACATGAAGGGTGTAAACTAGCAAACATTTGCCTAGGCCGTGATCGAATCGGAAAAGCTGGCTGTGGCCATTTGAATTGTTGGGAAATGGACCCTGAGAAGGACTGTGAATGAAGGACAGAACAGACAAGCCTGGGAATTGTTGAATGGAATAGAAAGAGTGGAAAATACGAGAAGTGTCGAGTGCGATTGGAATGTGCTTGGCGGCAAAGTTTCAAGTTACGCGCATAAGTTTCATCAAGATAACGAACTTCCAAGGACACACACCAGGTGCTTTAGCATATTACACGAGAGGTAACTCTACGAAGGAATGTGCTTCTCAATGACATAAACAGCTGTGAAAACGCCCATCTACCTATGGGACGGACTAACTCGACTGAATGTTCTGACAGCGCTTTGAAGAGTAGAAGCTTCATGAAAATGCCAGGTGAGGACGAACAGATGATGGAGATGGTGGAACCACGCCAAAAGGAGGCAAATTTTATCTGACAGATGGGAGAAACCGAGAACGAACTCGTCACCTCACATATGAAAAACCTCACCAGAAAAGCTCTTCGGAATGAGGGAAAACGAGTTGCCCTCTGGAAATGAAGTTTACACTATCAAGTAAAAAAAGGAAGAACAAAAACGCGTCAAGCTAGCATTGTAGCATAAAAACAAAATGACATCAAATGACTTGTGGGAGGCGTTCAAGAAAGGAAGTTTGTTGAAATATTGTCAAACAGAGCTCTTCCGGTGCCTTATATTGACAGCTGATAGTGGAGTTTATTAGTTGGCCCAAGTGGGTCAACTGCCTGAGTCACAGTAAATAAACAAAGCAAACTGTTTTGCAAAACCTTTGCAGAAGTTCTGAGATTATATCAAACGATCCCATGCCAAGGAATCCGATGACTGTTCAGACCTGATCGCAGTAGCCACCAGATATCAGAGCCGAGGGGCGCGTGCATGACTGGTCTGGATGTGGTCTCTGCCCTGTCCACAAGTGGAAAGAAACATGTCCACAGTGACAGAGAAATGGTGGCCATCAAATGGACGAAGCGAAGGTCTACTGAAATGCGTGGCCGTTCCGGTAGCAAAGACCAGCTAGCGGACGGATGTGCGCCGTCATAGTTATCGTAACGATGTAACGATGAATGCCAAGTGCGCTTACTGGTCTTGGGACGGCATTCCACTAAATCTGCGCCCCCGCGGCTGAAAGCGATAATCAAGAAGATATTACACTGTTATTCTGACCTCTGCGAGATGAGACCGCAGAAGCCGGTTCGCCGTCGTCGTCGTGTAGTCGCGTATCAGAGAAATCCCACTGATTCGAACCGAAAAACGTGTCACTGAGCGTGTTCTAGACCACCCAAATTTAAAGTCTCGTTGAGTTGTGAATTGAGCACGTTTCGCCATTACAAATTGCGAGTGGTGATGTTTAAATACACGTCATATCCCAGATAGGGAGGGCGTGGCTCCACCCGAACGATTGAGAGGATGCGTTTTCCGACTGACATTTTTATTTGAGACAACTGCCATCTTTTGGGCTGGATAAATTTGTGATTACATTGATTTTATAATCAAAACGAAATATTATTATTATAAATATTTATGTATATTAAAGGGAAATATAGCGTTTAGGTGAAGTTCGGATAGTGCTACACTTTTCAAAAATGTCGATCAATCAGTACTAGTACTAGAAAAGAATAGAAAAAGGTCAAAAATGCTTTCAATGAGACCCTCTTGCTTATGAGCAGTACATGAGGGCATGGTGAAGACATCTAGTGTGTCAAAGCAAAAACAGGCGACAAAATGTAGACAGAGCCCACAGACGAGCCAAATCAGGCTACCGAACAAATATTCTGAAAAAATAGAGATATTCAGGGCGGAGCTTCCTAGTTCAAGATGTCGCGGTTAGTGCTCTTGCAGCACTTTAGCCTGCTACAAAAGCTATATCCCTCCGCGATAGCGAAGCGCGCCATCTTTAGCATGGAAACGAATTTTGCATGTTGCGTACCCATGGACTGCTCGGGAGGTGTCACGATAAATTTCCAGGACATTAGGATTAGTATGCTAGCAGCACAGAAGTCTGCGCCCCTGAGCAAGCGTTGTGCGTGGCGCTTTCCAGGGGAGGCACCCTTATAGCACAATATCAAACTGCAACATATCATTTGAGAAGCTACAATAATGCAAGCGAAGGATCTATATGAAGCGGCCTGCGGTCTCTAGCCGTGGCGACCTATATGAACCCGTACATGCAGCAGTATCTACCGCAGCCGCTGTTGGCACGATGCCAACGAGTAACTCGTCCGAAATTGCTTCCTGAGTCGTTTAGAACAAAGGTTATAGGCGCAGATTTCAAACCGTTCTTCGCTCTTTGCCTTATTTTCCATTATATAGACCCTTCTACGATTTTGGGCCGAGTACCAAATTATCGTGCCGTATGCCTTAAAGCATCAACCCCAATTGACTTCGAAGGACTATTGAGATTAACGCAAGTCCAGGATGAGAAGAAATGACTGTCCACGACGCATAAGGAGTTATTGTGTGGACAATTAGTAAGATGTTAAAGGAGCGGTCCGCCCGATCATAACCTATTGAAATTGCATCACGAGGTGTGCCGGAAGGTAAGCGCGGTCTGGCAAATGAACAACCCTGTGCCAGCCTTCGCGGGCGGAAAGCTTGTTACGCGCAAAGGGATTACATGGTCCGCAAGGTTGCTTAAGTAGTACATCCCTTTTTCCAGTGACTCCGCCTCCAGACTCCGCCTCCAAAGTCGGCCTTCCAGCCAAAAGTAATGCTCCCGGGCAAGTATTATGGAGTGGATGCATTCAAGGTCTCTTGTCATGGGGTTCATTGCTGGGAATTAGCGGAAGGGGTATTAACCCAGCGCACGGTCTTTTCGGTCATTTTTACCTCTACAGTTGTTTGAGGCTAGACGAGGCCTGACGAATTCCAACGTTTCCATTGGAATTTTCTCTTCATATATGGTTCACTTGGCGAATTTTCTTTCCGAACTAACCGTACTGTCAATAATGAAATAACTGGCGCTAGAGAGAAAAAAAGCAAAAGGGAATCGTAGAATTCCTTATTTACCAACTGGTCCGGTCTGTGTAACCACAAAAGTCTCTCATTAAAAGATCTAAAAAAGAATTTTTCATATTCAGGAATGGTTGAACTGTGCAGGTGCTCGGATGAGTCTAAAAACTGCCTTGCTTCTGCCATTATAGCGTCAACAAGCTGTTAGATTTCCATGACCTGAAAATTGCCTAGCAGTTTTCGACGGCGAGTTGGTCATCAAAGGGAGTTCACAACTTCACTATACATACAGGGGGAGGCGGCCAAAAAAAGACATTTTGACTGAGTCACAAAAAGAAAAATTTTCACAGCTCAGACAGAGGACGTGGATACGAGTACCAGGGCGGAAGATACCCAAGATGTTCCTCGATAAGCCAGGAGCTGGCTCGCCACCCGTCAGCTTCTATGGAACACCAAAAAGATGAAGCTTCATCTCCAGTTCAGCCTAACTGGAGAAGACATTTAAAATTCATGTCACCTCCAAACAGCTGCGAAACTTCTAGTACGGAGTTACCCATGGGCAGCCACCTGGAGAGCAGTACTCCTCGCATCGAAGTCCTCCATCACCGAGCAGCTCAACGTCGCTATGGCCTAGGTCACTTCCCCTTCAGTCACCAAGCGCCAGTGATAGTGGTGGGACTAGACGTACCTGGAATGGAAAGGCCGATATTTTCTTCGTGGGCCCCGGACTGAAGGTGAGCGCTGGCGGTTACATCGAGCAACTCGAGAAGAATATCCTCTCCACATGTCGTC